TTGTACATGTACGACACCAATCCTCGACATCGTCACGATAATGGACCCAGTAAAACTGTTCTCGGACCTTCAGTAGAGTTGGAGTTCCCAGATGGACTCTTGAACGACCATTATGGCATAACTGTAGAACATTCGGCACTTTAGCTTTAGGGACAACCATTTGCAAACGACAGCTGTCTCTTCGACCATTGTCCCATTTACGGCACAGGAATCCATCCTGAATCAGCAAGCTGTCCCATTGGGCCCAATAGCTTTTCGTGGTTGAACTCATCGCTGAGACGTCCCTCCACTTAGGCTTGGTAGCACGGGCCTTCATCCATCCCAGAATCGGCTTGATGTCCGGATCTTCCTGCTGTGCATGTCGTAGGTTGTCCTTCCACCCGTTGCTGAGGTGGTCTGTCCTGAGCATCCTCACGGATACCACCTCCTTACTCTCTTGCATACTACAATGGTTGCAATCTTCAGGACAAGGTCTTCTTGACAATGCATCTGCGTTGCCGTGAGATTTCCCGCTGCAGTGTCTGATAGTAAAGTCGTATTCCTGCTGCTGCTGGGCGGTGCTGTTAGCCGCACTTCCTTTCTGAGACCGTTCACCTTCCCTTCGTAGGGTGTGCTCAGGGCAGCTGGACCGAAGATGGCCCCTTTCCCCACAGCCATAGAACCTAGGGCTGTATCTTTTATTGTGGTCGCGAACCGTAACTGCTGTAACCTCCCTAGCGTGAGGTGAACGATGATCCTGTCGCCGCCAGGCAGTGTCGTTAGCTGCACTACCCTCTCGAGATCGATCAACTCTCCTTTCCACGGTTCGCTTAGGGCAGCTGATTCGAAGATGGCCTTTTGCCCCACAGCCATAGCACCTAGGGCTGTATCCTTTGTTGCGGTCGCGAACTGTAGCTGCCGCAACCTCCCTGACGCGATGGGAACGATGATCCTGCCGCACGGCTTCCACTTCCAGTGCATGGGCCAAGGCGTCCTTAAGCGTCTCGTGGTGCCCGAGCCTCACAGCAGCTCTGACTTCCAGGTCGCGGATGCCGTCGATGAATGTCTGCACCAGGTTCCCTTCAATGAGCGCAGGTACAGACCGGTATGCTTTTCGCACCAGCTTCTCCACTTCTAGAGCCCACTGCTGCAGGTTTTCGTTGATGCGCTGCACACGATCTTTAAGCTGCGCACGAAAGACGTGTTCCAGGTGAGCGTCGCCATATCTCGCCTCCAATGCCTCAAGGAGTTGCTCATAAGTCACTTCCTCACCGAGAGCTTCCAGGACTGTTAAGGCCTGGTCGCGCAGGCCTAGTGTGAGAGCAGTCATGGCCTGACTTTTATTCCAGCCGTTCGCCTTCATAACAGCCTCGAACTGGATTTTGTAGGCTGACCAGGAAGAGGTACCGTCGAACGGTGGCACCTTGAACCCACGTAGCGAAGGTGTTGTCGCTACTACGGGAGCTGTAGCTCCATCTCCAAGTTTGAGTTCGTCCAGTGATTTCTTCATGTCAGCCATTACGTTGTCAACCCGATTGTTTACTTGGTCGATTCGGGTTTCAGCTTTCTCGATTCGGTTTTCAGCTTTCGCGATTTGGGTTTCAGCTTCCGACAGGCGTTTGTCATGCTGAGCAACCCTATCCTTCACCTCCTTTATCTCCTTCCCGAAGGTAGCGTGAAGGTCCTTCATGAGGAGCATCTGTTCCTCCTGTCGGCGGGCCTGTTCCTCTTGTCCGCTCTGCAGCTGCTCTTTCAACTGACGGACCTGTTCCTCCTGTCCGCTCTGCAGCTGCTCTTTCAACTGACGGACCTGTTCCTCCTGTCGGCGAGCCTGCTCCTCCTGTCGGCGAGCCTGCTCCTCCTGTCGGCGAGCCTGCTCCTCCTGTCGGCGAGCCTGCTCCTCCCGTCGGCGAGCCTGCTCCTGCAGCATCACCATCAGGGCGCCTAAATCAGGTGCTGCAGATGCAGGAGCTACTGACGAACCGGCCTCCGTTGCCGGCGGCTGGCCCTCCGACGTCTGCGGCGTTGCACCACCAAATCTTCTCTGGTCCGTCTCATGCTGGCGTTGACTGCGGGTATGAACACCCTCCGTTTCCTCCTTATGTAAAATCGGCATGATTTTATCCCACTTCTGACACCAATTGTTACGAGCTTGAGGTTCGTGACAATAAAAATTGCCGATAAAATTACCTAAATTAACACTTTAATTTACTTTACACAAATTAAAACTAAAAACACTAATAATTAAACACACTAATTCACTTAATTCCGCTCCGAAGCTTCGCTTGTGTCGCCGAGTTCAACTCTACTACTCCGATCGCATCTTGCAGTGCCTACTTATTTAAATTAGCAAAGAAATATCCAGAATGTTCAAGTAAACACGCGCAAGGTACCGAGCGTTCGAGTTTCGACTAGGCGCTGTCGATTGAGTGATTTGTGATGTCATTTTCTCAATGCTCCCCTCGCTCTCGTTCCTGACACTAGATGGCGCTAGTGTATCGTCGACTTGAGCGCGTAACAGTATATTGACAAATTAGATATATTTAAAAGCATTGATCCCTTTCGAGGGTTTTAAGTCGAATGAAGTCACTTAAAAACTAAAATGGCGGCATATTGCGGACATATAATGAAACATTGAAATATATACAATATTAAAAGCTATAACAAAGCAAAACTCATACTAAATCCTAAATTATCACACAGTACTACTCCAATGTATGTATCCAATTAAAGGTGTCATTCAGAATATTCTCGACATTTCGAAAATAAATTTTAATATTAGTATTTATTAGTTAAAAAAAATTATAAACTAAAGTACTCAACCAACTTACAGTCCACCTGACTACGGTACGTGGCTACTGCAGCCCATGGCAACTTGCAGCTGACTTCAAACTAAGAAGGTCTTTGTTACCTCTACGGACTGAGATGGAAAGCCTTACAGCCTGTATTTATACCGTTCCTAGGCAAGAGGATAACTACCCAGGACTTCCCAGACAGAAATGGGTTTCTATAGATAGGGTAGTGGATATTCTTACACTGCAACACACGCTGCACCTCTATGAGAAAAAATAATTTCTTCAAAATACTTGCTGCATATAGTCTAATACTTTTTTGGGTGACCCATTCCAACATCAATATTTCGTTAAATTCAGCATCCACTTACCATCAGGTGGCCTGTGTGCTCGTTTGTTACCCTAATTATATCAAAATCTAATCGTATGATGAAAATAATTTTATGTTACGATTAGAAGAATATTTAACTACGGAGTCCTGAAAAAAAAATTTTACAAGTTGAATAAAGTTGCATGCAATGTGTACCCATGCCTGTTAAGGACATATCGATAAGATATTGTTGCGCGCCACAATTAATGCCCGGTATATGGCTGGTGATTATTAGCGCCATCTAGTATCGAAGAGAAGAACTAAACTTTCTAGAAAACTCCACACTCGAATTTTCTACAATATTATCGAAAACGTCAATCTTAACAAAAGTGAGGTAAAATTACCAGAATTTTTAGCAGGATTTCTTTCTTAGGTGAGTTATGTTAAAGGTACTACGTACCTCATCATAGTTAATTACTTCAATTAAACACTAATTTTTACTTTAAGAACTGTGATTTTGCAAATACAAGTGCGATTTATTTTGTTCACGAATGCCGCCACGCCGATAGCGTGTACTTGAAGGTCTAGCATTTCTTTCTATCTCTAACATACGCGTACACTACGCTCTTTCTCTGTTGAATTGCCAATATATTATAACGTCGCTTTATACTAAATCTATATTTTATTAACAAATCGAAGTAGTGTGCGGTTTTTCCAGATTTATGGAAAGTCGCTATTGTCAAACCAAGGAAGATCAATCCTCTTTCAATTCAATACTTGCGACCAATTAGCTTATTACCTTTACATTTCCAAAATACTAGAAAAAGTAGTTTGCAATCCCGAACGTGATAATCGATCGACAATTACTCTTGGCTAAGTTTGCATTCTAATAATTTGATGCTAAGGGGGTAAATTAGTTTGACAGTTGTCTCACTGGAAGACAGCAACGTGTGCAAATCATTAAAAGTGACGTTACTAGGGTTCAATCAGCACCGCATGAATGTTACAGGAGGCGTCTCTCAAGGCTCGATATTTAGGCCTGTTCTATTCATGCTATATTTTGCTGATATTATTTGGAAAATTAATCACCATCATTACCACCTTTATGTCAATGAGCTGTAAATGTATCATTCCACCATAGCATTACCATTGGAGTTTCTTCAAGCTATTCACAAAATAAATTACGATTTAGAGGCCATTTGTGGTTAGTCAAAAATAATTTCATTACTTCTAAATCCTGACAAATCAGTTTAAGTTTACATCCCAATAGCTTTAAAAATTGGATGCAATCATATTGAACAAATCTCCGAAACCAGAAGCGTTGAGCTTGAAAATCACATGTCACAGTGTACAAAACTGCTTGAGATTACAAATCTTCTAAAAAATGCTTGCAAGCACTACTACACTAAGTAGAATTTAGAAGCTCATACATCGTGTACAGAATGCATTTGCGAGGTTCTGCTTACACGTACCACCTCGTATCCATGCTACTCCTTTTCTTAATAATGCATGCCCATTAAAAGTGTATCGCATCGAAAATTACATCTTGCTATGATGACAAATTAGTGTGGGTAACAATCACTGCGTCTATTGTTATATAATAGAAGGTATATTCCTTCTATTATCAACAATTTAAACTGTTTAATTGTTGATAATGTATATCACACTGTTCACATTATACTTAGTCTTATATTGAACTATTTCTGTTTTATTTATGTCTGCACTGTTTTATGACATGCTCTTAATAATATCGTAATTTTGATTTCTTTGAAATTTACTATTACTTGACGTAAATTGTAAATTATGAAATAAATATGGAGGACAGTATATTTAAATAATTGTTCTTTGGTTCTGCTATACTGTATAATCCTAAAGTATGTTGGGTTTAACATGTACCAGATAAAAATAGTGTAATGCTTTCATTTAGACATTGAGGAAGTGCCCTCCAAGATGTAATGTTTTTGGTGTTGGTCTTTGACGGTCGCCAGTAAAGGCGCCATAGACACGAATACTGGCTGCACGAATGGAACGAGGGAAGGCAGGGGCAGTGCGGCAAATGAGTGGGGCGGGGAGGGGTGGCCGTGCAGCGAGGTGAGTGCGTAGGCGGCCAGCGCCACGGCGGCGACCAGCAGCGCCCACACCGCCAGCACCAGCAACACCAGCAGCGCACGCAACCGCCGCCACGGCATCGCCTCGCCGTAGCGCGACCCCTCGTACGACTGTGCCCTGGCGCACACGATACGACACTTTTAGCATTAACAATTTTAGTAGTTTTATCATCAATCTGCCAAGAACTAAAAATAATTTTAATTTTGTCGAAGATATAGAATCACAGGTTTACGCGTTAGTCCAGATACACAGAGTTATAAGGTGGTAAATGAGTATAAAGAAAATCATTGCACATGAACAAAAATATATGTTTTTTTTCTTTAAAAAAAACCACACAAAGATGTTCTCCTGTATCGTGAGGGCAATTTATATACATAAATTTTCAAAGACGAACATACAATTGTTTGTAAGCCTTTCACAGATTTTTTTTCTAGAGATTCAAACCTGCGGCTCAGCATTGCAACTCATTGCTAAGCCACTGCGCCATGGACACGTAAAAAAATTTTGAACCTACAATATGCGATCTAGTAGCCAAGAACACTGACTACTAATCATGTGGTTTTCAGAAGAATATAATTATTCTCTTGCTTTCTATTTTTACCTGCGCCGGGAATGGAGTAACAACGGTTGTCTTTCTGGTTCCATATTAAAGTGATGCAAGACCCCGACACACCGCGGCTCGCGGTGCTAGAAACTGTGTGCCGGTCCGAACTTCGATGATGAACTGTAGAAAGTAAATACATTTTAATTTGCACTCGCGTGTAGGAGAATAGGGTTGGTTACGAGACGTAGTAGCGTGCAAAATAATAAGGCTAATTTCATTTATTTAAAAACCAAAATTCAGAGACATAAAATGCAGACCACAATATAGCTGTAGCATGAATCTACCATGTAATAAATACGATTAGTTCAATCAACTTTTACTAATACGAGAATAAAAACAGTTGTCATCTGTTGTAATATCTGTAAGGCGTTACACCTGGTGGGAATTACGAGTACAACGTTGCAAAAAGTGTCGCAACATGTATGGGAAATATATGTATATTGATATATTGTTTAATCATGTTTCAAACTTGAACAGGTTCATGGTCCTCGCATGATTTGAGTTAATCCAGGCAAGATAGGCTTAAAGTTCAGTTCTCGAATAAAAATAAAGTAAAATAACTTTTTCTTGATGTTTCAGCTTTTGAACGGTGTTCAGGTTTTATGCGTATTTGATGCGAAGGCAATATAAACTATTTTAGTCTTCCGTCTTCTCATAATATCTTTGTTAACAGTTCCACTGGAACTATCGGAAAACATCATTTTTCTTATCTATCCATTTTTAGTTATTTAAAATAAATAATAATAATAATTAAATTAATTTCAGCAAATAGAATTGGTTTACAGACATTAGTGGCCGGATTCTCCTTTTAAGCAAATAATGCCTGTACCAGGTGAATCCGCTCTTCCATATCAATATCTATATATTATATTATTTACATTATGAAATATGACATTACAAAGAAAAACTTAAAGACTAAAAGGGAATATTTACAGTTTTTTTCCTCAGATTATTGTTATTTGTTATATGTATGCGAAAGCGTGCGTGTGTATGTATGTGTGTGTATGTGTGTGTGTGTGTGTGTGTGTGTGTGTGTGTGTGTGCTTGCGCGTGTATGTGTTTGTATGTGAGTGTATGGGTATGGAGTGTACTATTTTACTGTATGTAAAAGCAGCTCAGTGTTCTCATAATTAAGTGACTCTAACCAATTTTTTACTACCTTTTTTACATTCGATATATTGTTTCGAATAAATATCAAGTTCTTTATTGATTTTGTTATAAATTTGAGACGAGCGACTATTATATTGAGTACTAGCAAACTTAGTTTTAGTTTGGGGTACTGAAGCCAAATTATTTTTTCTTCTTTTTTCCTTTTTTACTTGCATCGTAGGGTATATTTTTGTGTTTATTGAGTGTTATCTGTTTTATATACAGTTTCCTTACCGAAAGTAGCCCACTCTCGAGATAAAGCCTTTCCGTGGGGTATCTAATATTTTTGAAGTTCATAACTTTAATAAGCGCACGTTGTGCTCTCTCAACCTCTATAAACTTAGTTTTTGCCGCACCTCCCCAAACAGGAATACAATATTCCAAGACAGATTGAACCAAGGCGATATATATCTCATTCAGAATTGTTCTTGAGGTTTTCCGGTCACCATTTTTTTCATTATTACCTGGAACCACATGCCTTAATGATCTAAAGACCCAAATAAACTTTCTGGCTCTTCCGGCAACTTGCTCAAGCTGTGGGTACCAGGACAGTCTCTGATCCAATATGACACCCAGGTACCAGGTACTTTGTATGGGTAACTTTATTAATGATCGGGCAGTTGCAGTTACTATCCTGGGTGTTACAACAATCATGAACCCTTATACTAAATCTGTCATCAGGTTGGATTTTTATTGTAGATACTGAAACATATATAGTTAGTTTTATTTGTGTTCAGCTAGAGCAAGTTATATTTTAACCAAGTAGCTATTTGAACCATTCCATTTTCGGCACTATTTTTCACAGCTTTCCAGGAATTTCCAGAGAAGACGACTGCAGTATCATCAGCATAGGAGAAGATTTTTGCGTTATTTATTTTTAGGCTACAAAGGTCGTTGATATATACAAGAAATAATGTAGGGCCCAAAACGCTTCCCTGTGGAACTCCGTATGTTATTTCTGCATCTTCACTTAAGTACTGTTCCAACTTTACTCTCTGCTTCCTATTAGAGAGGTAGCTTTTAAAAAGAGTTAATGGTGCTCCCCTTATACCAACCTTTTCCAATTTATTTACTAGGGACAGAGACGGTGTCAAAGGCTTTTTTGATATCAAGAAACACCGTTAAACATTTATTTTTATTATCAATTTCTTCAATTATTAGCGAGCTTAGAGAAGTTACAGCATCTTCTGTGGATTTACCCGTTCTAAATCCAAATTAATAAATAAAAAATAAGACAAAATATTATATTTATTTAAAAAATTTACTAAACGATTATTAATAAGCTTTTCCAAAATTTTTGATATGCTAGGTAATATGGATATGGGCCTATAATTATTCACTTCCGTCCTATCTCCACCCTTGTGTACCGGAATAATAATAGATTGCTTTAACAGGGTAGGGAATATCCCCTTATTAAAACAAAGGTTGGCAAGGTGAGTTATAATAGAAACGACTTCATATCTTACAAATTTTAAATACTTTGTTGAAATCATATCCCAACCTGGTGCACTGTTAGATTTTAGGCCTATCAAGATTCTATCCACTTCATCATGATCTGTGTCAAGGAGCATGAAGGAATTTCCCAGTGCAGGCGGTGTGTCAGAAAGGTTATATGAGTCATGCAAGGCAATATCTTTAATTTGTTGAGCAAGTTGTTTACCAATGTTAACAAAGTACTCATTAACAAAATTTGCTGCTTCGGTAGGGGTGGGCTTAGTATTTAATAATTCTGTGTTTTGGTTTTTCGATTGGTTCGAGTTTGTTATATTTTTTATATTTTTCCAAAGTAGCTTATTATTTGAAACTGATTTAGCAAGTTGTTCTCTTTCATATCTTCTTTTCAGCTTTTTAATTAAATTATTGCAGTAATTTCTATATCTTAAGTATGTTATTTTTAAAATTTCATTGTGTGGGTCTTTTCTTAAATTCTTTTGTAAATTATTTCTATTATTTATACACTTAAGAATACCAGTTGTAATCCAAGGTTTTATGATACGTTTACTCTTCGGAATTTCAATAGTAATAATATTGTTTTTTTTATAGAATTAGCTATATTATGCAAAAGAAGGTCAGTTAATACATTAGGGTCATAACATTCTAATAACTTAGCCAGATTACTTTCTTGTAGATATTTTCGAGCTTTGTCGTAGTCTAGTATAGATTTAGTTTTATTTGAAAATTGATTATATTTAATTTTGGATAAGCATTAAAATGTAGTAAAATGGTCTGTAATGGTGGTATGTAATATTGCTATGAAAGGCAGATCCTTTTTTACTGTCTGTTTTGAGCATAAAGTGATCCAAACAGTTGAGGTTCCTTGTAGGTAGCACATGTCCCGGAAGTATTTCAAGTTCTGCCAACATGTTAAGATAGCTCATTCTATTCTTATATTCTTGCGATGGCTCCATATTTTTAGGTCTAATATTGATATTTATGTCCCCAGCTATTATTATATTTTTATGCATTGATATTGTCTCAAGATGTGCACTAAGAGAAGCTTAAAAATTATCTATATTTGTATTTGATTGCGAACGATAGATGCATAAGAATATATTATTTGATATGTCTACTTGAATACAAGACACCTGTGCCAGTTTTATTTCTTTTACTTTATTAATATATCAATATCGATGTTCTCTTTGTTGTTGAATGGATGCCTGTTTACGGATTGAGGATGATGATTTTAATGTTCTTCTGAGGTGTCAAAAATGACAAAAACCAAAATGATAAAATTTGTTGCATGAATTAACTTAAATACTAAAAGTAAAGCATGACTATGTAAGATGTTTAGATTTCCGACGGACCCAATTTCTTTACACGCGCGTGCACAATATCTTCACGCATACACCTATTGTTTTGTTCAATGGGGGCAAAGGGCTTAGAGATAACATTTACAGTCATTGTACTTGCCATTCTTTGTCTCAAGGATTATGTAGGTACAATTCACTTTAGCGCGTAGATATAAAAGAATAAAAATAAACATTGTTTAAATACGATAATAAAACATTTAAGAGTCACAATCTTTATTTATTACATGGTAGAGTCATGCTACAGCTATATTGTGGTCTGTATTTTATCTGTCTCTGAACTTTGGTTCCTTATCGAAGATACACGCAGATGTCTATGGGCCGCAGTATACACTTACCATCAGGTGGACTGTGTACGCGTTTGTCACCCTTATTATATAAAAAAACTTAAATGTTTTACTTTAGATTTGATTAACTTATTCTTCTATTTATGTTTTATCACAGAACAACTCGATACAAGATTTTATTTCATCCAAATGTACTTGCGAGTACCTCGGATAATTATATAGCGCTTATTTATTCACAATTATCGACAAGTAACATTAAGATTTGGCGACTGGTCGCTGCTCAGCGCCGCCATTCACTCGATTTGTTTTGTAATTGATTTTTACACGTACTATTTACGTTCTTAGAATTTAATTTAAAACATAAAACGTGAGGTACACTAAAATTTTTACACTAATAAAAACAATTAACACGCGACTTCCCAGCAAAAATATTTTAATCAATATATGAGTTTCTTAATTCATCTATTATTTCCCATTTGTGCAACTCAAGATATACATGACCATAACGAACCATCTCGTAAACCACCACTGCCCTGGACTCTCCTGAGGGTAGCCCGCGTAAACTAAGAGTACCACGAATCAATCTGTAGACCCACAGCAACTAGTTACTAACTAAAAAATAAGTGAAAGTGATTAAATTGTATGTCAGGACTACAGACTCGATCTCTTACCTGTCGATCCTATCTGAGTATCCCGCGTCAAGCTAAAGTAGTATGCATAAGTATTTTTCTTCTAAAAATGTTTATTTCTTACAGTATACAATAACATTACAAAGTTGTAAGTAGTTTTAGGTCATTTTTATATGGAATTGTAACAAAAATTTTCTAATTCAAGTGCATTTCAAAAGTTGTTCGACTGTTACTTATTAACTTGTTTAGCCTACTTAGTTGTGATATTACTTTATCTTCATTATACTACTATTGTGCATACTTTTCATATTTACATATCCACAACGACATACCAGCTAGCAGGTACTCCATTAGGACGTGTCTAAACAATTCGAGATCTAGGCCTAATCATGGATAGTAATTTGAATTTCCATGAATATATTATTAAAAGAAGCGAATAAAAGTTTAGGTTTCATAATTAGAACTTCTTATCAGTTTAAAAATGTCCGTGTGATAAAACTCCTGTACAACGCCTACGTGCAAAGTAAGCTAGAGTATAATGCCTCAGTATGGAACCCATAGAAACCATGTATATAATGATGGTGGAAAAAACCCAACGTAATTTCGCCAGATATTTGTACAAACGCCAGTATGTGTACTACCCATTTCTATATCCTTCAACATTTGTATCGGGCATGGCTGGTTTGGATACCCAACAGTGTAGGCGGGAACTTATGCATATAATACTGTTGCGTGCCATAATTAATGCCTTTCACATGGCGGGTTATAAGTGCCATCTAGTATCAAGTAGCAGAAAGAAGGAAATGTTTCTAGAAAATTCGATGATAGAACTTTCGAAATTTCGTTTCGATTTCTTCTGTTTGTCCATAATTTTAGTTTTCTAATTTATTTATGCAATATTTATATTAGATTGTGCTCGAGTAGGTATTCAGTATTCACTCACGATGTTAAAAGTAAAACGAAGGAGAAACGTAATGATACGCTACAAGACGTCGTTGGGGGATCCCGGCGAACATTTTATCGCCACTAGTGCTACCACATTTAACGGTGGACACCAATAACGATCACCTCGCGCGCGAGCCTGAATTAATGCATCTACTGCTGGTGACCTACATTTTTTACGATATTTCGCGTTATACAATGAGTAGCCGAAATCTAAAAATTTGAGATGATTTATTGACGTAACGGACATCGAAATGAGTAGTACTAAAATGAAATAAAGTTGATCCACTATATTTACCAGTACTAAAAAGTTTATTGACATTAGCTTACTTACTCCTTATACAGCATTAATTTTTTAACCGTTCTTGAAAAAAATCTTGACTCGAATTCACAATAAAACGCATATCGATGAATAATAAAATTCACATATCGCTATCCGTCAAATTGACAACACTGCCAGCCCACAGAAATAATTTGGAGAAATTCCCTAGGTGTAACTTTAGAATTTCTCTCGACGGATTCGCCATGATTAAAGTCGGGTTGCAACCTGTCCACAGAAATCGTAATAATAAGACAATAGAAGTCATAGACGCGTGATCTTGTCGCAGCTATGATGTGTTGACGAACATCATTCATCATTTTGTGATTATGTTGCTCGGGGAACGTCATACGTGAATTTATGTTAATAATTGGTTACCAACCCTCCTGTTTTCCCAGGACATGTTCTGGTTTGTGTAGTGTCCTGGGATGTCCTGGATAGCTTTTAAGCAGCGTCCTTAGTTTTTAAAGCGCCCTGATAAGTTCATGCATTTTAAAATTCGCGCGCTACTTTTACAATTCTCTTACATTACGGGCGGCCTCACTATCTATAACATAGATATGAAGTGTGAACAATTTTATAATTATTTGTTAATTCAATCACAGACACTAAAGGAAATTGATGGTATTGAAAAGTATATTAAAAATAAATAAGTTTGTAATAGGTATTAGAATTTATTAGATACTATAACTAACCTAAGTTTAAGGAATTTGTTACAAACCAAAGTGTTTGTTTTATATTTTAATAACTAGTTTCAGCTCGTATAATTTTATTCAAATACTTTTTTTTAACCTATGATTAGTATCATTACTTGAATTTCATTTAACCTATTTTCACTACATATTAATTTAACTATTACAACTCTATTAAGCTCGAGTCAAATATACAGCGAACTGATAGCATGGCGAAGCGTTTTTATTTTGTTATATAGGTATGTTATCGTTTGAATCTACTCACATATAAAAAGCGAAAACGTACCGATTCTTGCATACGTACTGCATACGTTCGCCACGTTTTTGGTTCATTTCGGTTCGCAGTTAGGTTTGACAAGGTCTTTACTGCGTCCTGTTTTCAAACTGAATAGTCCTGGTTTTTCCCTCATAAAAACCTAGTTTTTTATATTTGGGATTGGCAACCCTATATTATTATAATCTAAGATGTTTTTAAACTTAATTACAATACTGAACTACAGCATAATCAGTTGTAAAAACTCATCAAGGACGTGTAATTCAATCAACAAAGGCATAGTATATCATCGGTAAATTGATTATTTACTAATTATCATTGTTTTAACTAACTTACATCTAGATGAACACTTTACTATGATATTTACCTACGTAAACTTTCATTTATTACTTTTCGCATTGTACAGTTACCATTGCTGATTTTGTTCTACCGTAATACGCAACGTTGACAAACTCGCCAAGCAATGTAATGTGAAACATTAGATATCATTGTGCATTGCGTATGTTTATAATACGGCTGCAGGCATCGGTTGCTTAACGAGTATTGTGGCGACATGAGTTTTGGAAGTAATCGAGCGCTAATTCATTTCTATTTTCTTATTATCACTCTTTCTGTGAACATGTCATATTTATTTTTAAATTGGGAGAAATTTTCAAAAGTTCAGTTTGATCGACATTTTCTGGTAAGGATTCGAGGCCTCCCTGAGCTTGAGGGCCCCGAGGGCACTGCCCCGCCTAGCCCCTAGGTAGCTACGCCACTGGTGTTCGCGTAGATTTAAGAAATCATTGGATAAACTGAGCTTAATGAGAACAGATGTGGAAAAGTACAGGTGCAACGAGGTGGATGTTAATGAGCGACATTCTGTAAGATATACTTACTTGCTGAGTGATTAACTATTGCAATAATGTAACATTTGAAAATTTATTGCATGTTAGGTTCGAGGTTACTTGATAATGAGGGCGTTAGAGTTGCAATTTTTTTCCAAAATCCTAATAATAGCTTGTAAACTATGTTAATAATAATGAGTAATGATTTTTTAACTATTATTAGTTACATAATCACTTACGCCTGACACCCAGAGCGGTAGGCAGAGACTACTGACTTCTATTTGGGACGACCCTGATGCACATATGATGCACATATACAGGAGGATATGTGTACCCGCCTGCTTTACATCCGTATATCTACACATTGTACATGCTCGTCGGTCAAGTCGACAAACTTTCATCTAAGGCGTAATGTAAGGATGATTTTTCTGTTCATTAAAGATTATTGTATAATATTGAGTCATTTTTTATTTACCACTGGTTGGCAAAAAAAACTTCTGTCCTGGAAAGAATTAGCAAGAAACTCAGCGGGACTTTTTTTTACACATATTTATTTACAATAAATTTATTTTTTTAAATTTTTGTATGAAATTTTATAGAACCAGCATCGTGGCGATCACCTCATCCCCAGGAGTTTTTTTTTCATTTTTGTACTCCTTTATATTATAATAACTCTTTTTGTACAATTTTTCTTTAATAAAACATTTAAATTTGTTTAATGACAAATTTTGTACATTGTCTGGGACTGCTGTAAAAGCGTATCCATAAATTAATTACTAATTCTGTGGAGTCTAATAACTGGTACTGGCTTATGTTTATTCCTACAGTTTAAAGTATGTAATATTTTTAGTGAAAAGAGTGAAAGCTTAGAGTTTAGAGAGAAAAATGATGTTCCATACCTTGTTTCTTAAATAAATCTAGAAATCGTGCACGTTTAATCGACAGAGGTAAGAGTAACAATCAAAGCTGTTGTTTACTTATTTTATGAATACAACATTTTATGTCAACTTATATTTATATTTGAAATTTTAAAGTGATATCCGTGGTTTAAAAATATATGACAAAGAAATAATAAAGTTAAAAGAAAGAGACTTTCTAATAGAAAGTTTTTCCAGGATTTTCGCACAATAGGACTTCCTCTAAAACCTGACCTTTACCAATGAGCGGTAATTACTTACAGCTATTATCGCTGTTCAGACCTGAAAATTATAAACTGTTTTATTTTTTACAAAGTCTAATGTGAGATTTAAATTTAATATGATGAATTAGAATTTATTTTAATATTCATAACATAGAAATACGAATTAATTCAACGTTAAAAAACTGATAAAGTAACTGAAACTAAAAACTTCGTGATAGAGCCATGCTGCAACTATATTATGGTCGTAGCGCTGATGGAATGGCGCGCTCGGCTCGATTGGTGTAAGACCTTGCTTGACCGGCTTGATGCTACTACATTTCGTATGATCAGTGTGGAGGACCGACCGGGTTTTTTTTACTAGAAACGAGGCATTCTATCTTAGTCCTCAGGGGTGATAGTCCATCTGCATTTGATTCTTAATCGAGGAAAAATGTACATGCTTGTGGGCCACAGCATCCACTTACCATCAGGTGGACTGTGTGCTTGTTTGTCACCCTTATTCTATTACAAGTGGTAATATTAATTTTTTTTACAAGCGACTTTAACATAAATAAAATGAGAACATCATCTATGTATTTGAAGTCAATTGAATAGGCATTATTAAGGTTACTCAAAAAACACTGGTCAGATCTTGATCAACACCACAACACCACGACCACACGAGAAACACCAGCTTTCAAATAAAAAGAATCATCAAAATCGGTTCAACTAGAAAAAAGTTCTGAGGTAACACAAATAAAAAACATACAGTCGAATTGGACACCTCCTTCTTTTGGAAATCGGTTGAAATAAAGACTTAAATCATCATAAAATTATCACTTGTCGTGGTACCCTACTATAAATGCTGGCTGCATTTCCTACACCTAACCTCTGAGTAAGAAAAGAATCAGAGCTCTTATCACCAGCAGCAATGACCAGTCGTGGATACAGTTCCTGTAGGAAATTTATCGCACGTGGACCTCTCGGTCAGATAGTTTCTATAGCAAATGGCACAAATATGTATTCTTCTCTCAGAGCGCTTCTTACTTAGTTCAACTACCTCTGATGCCACTCCAGCTCTAAACGAGATAAGACTGCCAATGTCTACGCAACTAGCAGGGTTTTCTAAGGGACCAAGGTCACACCATAGAGTCATCTCTAAATATTCCATAAGGCTCTAAAACCGGAAGAATTTTTGTAGAGACAAGAGCTCTTCTAATGACATCGTTCAAAGACGTGTGACGGGAAATCCTACCAGCACATTTCTTTGAATAAATATTTCTATACCTATCTGCATGTAACTTGTATTCATTTAAATGAAACTAGATTTTACGGATTTTATCGCGTATATTAATTTTATATTCCCAACGTTTCGAGTATTTTACAGCACTCGTGGTCACGGGGAAGACTGAGGTGTTCGACGTCCCAATGTCATAGTTAACCACTGCTACCTCCAGATTAAAATTATTAATTTTTCTTCCGATTTACGTAACAAATGGTAGCACCCAGCCATCTATTGCGGGGTTTTATTGATCTTTAAAGATCAATAAAACTCGCGTTAAAGAACACACAGCTGATGAGGAGAATCGACGCCCCGGGACGTCTGCAGTCTATGAACACGTACAGGATCACCGTCACTACATCAGATTTGATAGACCACAAATCCTCGCTAAAGAACACCGATTCCTTCCAAGAATGATTCGCGAGGCTATTGAAATCAAAAAAAACATCCTAATTTCAATAGAGAAGATGGCTGGGTGCTACCATCTGCTTGGGATCCTATAATTAATAAAAATAAATCCCGCGTCCCATAATTAATAAATGTAAATTGTATTTTATTTTATTATATAAATTTTATTTTATATATTAAAATAAATTTTGTTTTGGTTTTACATCCTGGAATACTGCCAAACGTTATTCATTTGTAAATATATTTTCAATAAAGCAGTAACAACAAAATAATGAAACACACAAGCCATAAAATTACGCTTCCGTCTCCCGCACGCGTATTGTTGCGAATATGGGCATTGTGTTCATTTTATGATTTACGATTTGTGTGTGGCGTACTGTATTCAGTTGACTCCATCTCTATTCTGCTATCCCAATTTAATGAGCGTGTTTAAAAAAGCCTTGTGTCCATTCATAAAAGATAAATGAAAATCGCCATGGCAAATATCTACTGTTTGATGTAATATTAACGTAGCAGTTCAGCTGTGGAGTTTTGTAAAGTTGTAACGGTAAATTAGAATCAGACTCGTTAATGACATAGACTTTGTCAGAAATATCTCATTTTGAGTTGTCCAAAACATCCAGGAGTGCTTAGCATCAAGTTATATGCTTACATGTTCAGCTATTACTGCGGGGTGCTTACCGTTTGCAGGGCCTGACACACACAGGCTAACGAGGCTGGAGTCTAGGGTGCAAGGTTCGATTTGGTACTGAACTTGCCTTTGCGAGCACCACTTACAGAATACATTTTAAATAAAATTCTTATAAAATAATAGAAAAAGTGCTGTAAGCATTTCGCTTGTCGCTCTTTTTTTTGGTACCTACAAAATAAATAAAATCGATTGTAAAAATAAAGTCTTTGAATTATTTGGTACCTATTATCTTTCGTTGACCGACTAGTATGATTCGTGATTTGAAGATACTTCCATCTAATTTTATTAAAGTGTTTTGTCAAGTCATTCTAAGAGAACTTTAGTCAGCCAACTGCTCCATCTCTTCACAGGGAGACCATTGTTCAAGGCGAAAGTTGATCTTTAAGTTTTCTTTTTGAATTCAACTCGACTCTCGATGACGGGCAACACACACCGCCGTTCATCCCGCGGTGTGAAAGTTTCATGCTGTATGTATGTTTTATACAGCACTCAGTGTGCAAAGCATTTCTCTCCCTGAACGTCAAGAAGTCGTTTGGGCCTGAAGGAGTACCTCCTATTATGCTATAGACGATTGCTACGGAGTTAGCACCGTTCTATTGCGTCTTTTTCGGTACTCCTATTCCCTAGGCGTAATCCTGAATTTACGGAAGAGCAGATTTAATGCACGCGATCAAGAAAAGGTGACCGAGGTGTAGTTGGACGGGTCT